GCTGTTGTCAGTAAGTCGGACCACCGTCCATCCCTGACATCAGCTCAGCTGTGTTTGTTGAAACTCTGGAAAAATAAAAACTACTGTTTACCTGTTGTTCCTCTTAGGATCATGTAAACAGTATAATCCATACGCTGTGAAGCTCAGCTCGCTCTCTCCCGCTGAGCCATCACATAATTTTGACTGTCAGTATCTGCTCGCTGTCTTTGTTCACAGTCTTTGTGCCACTAAGTCTCCCTCACACTCAGTCATTACTGACACATGTCTCTGTCTTCATAATATGCAGTTTTTTTCCTTTTGCTTTCTGGCTTTATGATAGTTTTTATGCATATGGTCTGTCTTTGCTTCTTATTTCAGCCTCATTATATTCACTCTGCTCTTCCTGCTTTAGTCTCTCTGGCTTTCTGTGTTTGTTGTCTTCTCCAATTACCTCGTGAAAATGCGCAGGTCATTTTATTGATATTGCGGACTTGAGAGCAAAAAAAAAGGTGGGTATATAAAAGCAGGCGGTCCAAATGGCTTCTTTCTTTTAAACTTTTATACTCTGACTACATTTTTTTTTTATTTGGAGAGAAATTTAGTTCAAAAGCACCTGGTAGTTTCTCTCAAGTGGAAAAGCTTTTAGTTTAGCTTTTGAAGACTGTTCAAGCTCAATGAGCTAACCCTCTCCCTCCTGCCTTCACCCCGTTCCCAACCCTTTCCCTTCATCATCCCCATCTCGCCTCTTCTGCCTCCATTACTCTCTGCCGCTTCCAGAGGGACGAGGTGTCCCGCGTGCCGAGCGTGGTCTCAGAGAATGGAAAGGAGCAGCTCATGTTTGAGGTGCCCCTCAACGACACCGGCTCGGCGGGGCTCGGCGTCAGCCTCAAAGGGAACAAGTCCAGGGAGACGGGAGAGGATCTGGGAATCTTCATCAAATCCATCATACACGGAGGAGCTGCCTACAAGGTGACGCAGTATTCCCATACATGCATACACTCATGTAAATCACTTTATCTGTACAGTGCGATGTTTTCTTTTGCTCCAGTCACAGTGTAAATGAACAGAAAAGGAACCTCATCCCACGTGGACATCTTTGCACACAAGACTCTCATCTGAGGCCTGGTTGTGATCCTGCTCCGCTAATCTTTGACCTCTTCTTCTCTGTTTGAGCGGCGCATGCACACACACCCTCGCACCGGGCGCAGCTGTTAGTGTTTGTGCACAAACAGGCAGGAATAGATGGAAAGGGCCTGCTGCAGAGGAATTGTAAATATCTTGCCGATGCAGTCGGGCAGACTGAGTTGACGGAGGTCTCGGTCGATGAGGTGGAGACTGCGTTAAGTCAG